AGTGCGAGTGGTCCGGCGTTCAATTCGCCGATGTCCCCGTTGTTTTTAGCTTTTTTGGGTCATTTCCTGGTGCCCTAGGCCAACAGGATTCTTTTTAGTCCATCTGGGACTTAAAAATCATTTTTTAAATATTTTTTTCAATTTTTTTTTAATTTTTTTTAATTTTTTTCGCTGAACATATTGCCAAGTTTAGTATCGTTAGAAAAGTAATACGTAGCTGAGTAAAATGGTTATTTTTGTTTATTTTTTCCTGTACCGAAAATCCCGTTTCCGGTCAAAAAGAGTTTATTTTTACAAAAATTGTACAAAATTTTTTTATTAGTTTTGAGCAAAATGTAACTAGTAAAATTAACTAGAAAAATTACTAGATATCACAGTTGCCGCCTAGCACACGTAAAGTTTAGTCGCACATTTTCCCTATCCTTTAACATTAAATGCTTCATATAAAAAGTGGGCATCACTGTCTAGCACTTTGAGCGCTAATGTAGGAAAATTCTGAACGGTCAGACTTTTTGACTTTAAAAGTAGTTTTGGGTTCAAAACACACTATTTGATAGAGTTACGTGAAAACAATAATTACTGAAAAATGTAAAATGCCGACTTACTTTAATAATTGGGTGTGGTCGCTTAATTAGGTAATTTGTGAATGCAACGCCAGTGAGGCGATCATTGTGAGAATGGTCAGATAGGAGGCAAACATAGAACGGAACATATGCAAGAGACTGACTCTAAAGTAAAGATCAAGAGGGGTGAGATTTGATGCAATTTAGGCAGAATCACTAAAAGTCATGGCAGATTGGCGACTCGTAAGGTGGAGATAAAAAACGGTGTATTTGATGATTGTGATCAGGCAAATGACCAACAAACAACTGGCCACTTTCACGCTGTAGCAGAAACTCCTCGCGTAGAGAAATACCAAAAACAGGGAGAAACAGAGGGTCCACAGTTTGAAAGAGAAAAGGCCACAGTAACTGTACAGGTACTACACCATCGACAAACAACTGTTTATAAAAAAAATTAATCAGTGTTAAACTTGCGAAAAAATTAACTCACAAGAACCAACCGTTGAAAAATTATAATTTTGAAGGTGAAGCATTTTGTGACGGAAAACATTTTACACTTACTGACAGCACTGCAGACGATGAGTAGCGAGCAGACGGTGCCAATGACACAAGTGAAAAAAACGTCTCTACAAAGTCCTAACCGACCAGACGATAGTCAATTAAGGAAGAGAGACGAATCATTGGACGGGAAAAACGTCAGCGGGACGCTAAAAAAAGTCAAGAGATTATGTAAACAAATAAAATATAAAATCAATTTGTTTATTTTACAGATGCTACCAAAAGTATGCACTATTTTTAGTTCTAACAGACAAATAAAAAACAGTCACATATCATGGCACAAATCTGCCCAAAATACGGGCATTTTTTAGCCACATTTATTGACCATTTTTTGCTCTATAATAGGACCATCTAAATTTAGAAATAGAGGCATACTAAGACGATTGTCTGTTTATGCTCAAGATGATACTGTTTATAGTGTTGTAATCTAAACAAATTTTGCGTATATAAGGAGGAAGAATCTCATCACAAATTCATCTGATTCTTGGCCTCAACCAGCAAGCATCTTCTCAACTACGCAACAATGGATAAACATGTAAGTTAAATTAAAATAAAATAAAATAAAATTNTGCGTATATAAGGAGGAAGAATCTCATCACAAATTCATCTGATTCTTGGCTTCAATCAACAAGCATTTTCCCAACAAAGCAACAATGGATAAACATGTAAGTTAAATTAAAATAAAATAAAATAAAATAACATTCTAACATTATTTGTAGTACAAATTAAGATCGTCTGATGACAATCCTAAGGCTGAAGAAAAAAAACGACTTTTTGATAAATTAAAAAAAAGTTTTCAAAAGAAAAAACAAGGCACAGCTGTTTCGACAAGTACTGCATCACAGAAACAGTCAGTCACTTCAAAACAAACAAGTAGTCCATCTCAATCGTCATCCGATGACGAAGCTGGACCTTCGACCAGTGTTGTCACACCTGTTATCAGTACATCTAAATCAAGTGGTAAATCAAACACTGAAAAACCTAAAGTGCAGCAACGCTCATCTAAAAAGATCATTTACGTTGAATCGTCATCGTCGTCTTCTGACGAAACCGAACCTTTGCCAAAAGATTCTGCACCTGTTGCTAGTACATCAAAATTAAGTAATCAGGTAATTCACCTTTGAAAATATAATTTTAAACTACAGAACACATTAGTTTATTTTTTTTGTTTTTTATCATTAAATTAATTCTCTAATTTATCACTTATAAGATGAAAAAAACAAAGATAATGTTGATGTAAATTAGAACTATAAATTGCTAAATGAAAAACCATTTATATGTCCTTATTGTAACGACATATTAAATGCGAAAAATAAATTATGTGCTCACATTAATAATATACACAAAAAAATAAGACATTATGGATGCAAAAACTGTTCAGAAGAATTTTATGACATAACAGAAGCAAAAAACATGTCAAAACGCATTTTAAAAAAACTAGTAGAAAAAAAAATTGATCTAGAGAGTTTAATCGTAGACTTAAAAAACTAAAATCATTGTTAAGTAAAAAAATTAATCGCAAAAAAATTACTATTAAACACAACTATTATTTTTTACCTGGTAACTAATCATTTTTTGATTGATGTTTATTTAAAATGGATTAATTTTTTATTTATTAAATCTAGAAACAAGAAGCGGAAAATTGGACAAGTCCAGAAAACTTTTGCAACATTGGTTTATATTGGCTTTACGGCTTGTGTCAGACTTTTTTACTCACAAGATTAACAGAACGGCCATTTGCGGGAAACGACGATGAAAAAGAAGAAGATGACGAGGAGATGAGCAATGAAGAAGAAGAGGAAGACGAGGAGATGGGCAATAAAGAAGAAAAGGATGAAGAGAGCGAGAATATGAGCGATGAAGAGAAAGAGGATAAAGACTTAAAAGGTTTGAAAAATATAAAAATGTAAAAACATTTAAATTTTAATGTTTTTAATCTTTTTTTGATACAGTTTTTCCAAAACATCATCTGCTCTTCAACAACCAAAACCATTAAATATTTCACATATTAATCTCAGCACATTACATTAAATATAACCCCCACTTATGCAACTAATCTTTTTATAATTTTACATTTTATATTTTATCATGTCTTATTTGTTTCTATTCATATACTCGTACACAAAACAAATATTTGATGATAAACTTTAAATAATAATCGTTTAGTTTAGTTAGTACACACTATTATTTAGAAACAAAAAACGCCGCACAATAAGCAAACAAATTTTCTTCAAGATCAAAAGACATAAAAAGCGAGCACAAATTCTCACAGAAAAGGTAAAAACATATGCTATTGCTTTAACATAATTTTTTACAACAACAAACTGTGTATTTGTTAAGAACTCATTGTAAAGCAACAAACAACCAAAAAAAGTCTAATAAAATTTCCAAACGCCCAATTGTATGTTTCCTTTTACTGTTCATCAACTTTTTGCACATTTATCTTGCACTCTAAGCAAGAATCATACCACTAGACCACTGTGCCCCGATCACTGAGGGAGCAGGCGCAAGCGAATATTTACTGTCAGTGCAGACATTTTGCCGCTGATCAGCAGATGACATCTGCCAGATGTTGCTAGTTCTGCTCAAAAACAGTCGGCAAGTACTCCGGCAGATGGCCTACAAACAGAAAAAGAGAGTTACTTTTTAAATTACTAAATTAGAAAATTTTTTGTTTGGTAACAGGTGGTTTTCTATGGGTCTCAAATTGGCGATGTCTTGTCGCACAAGTTTTCATGCAAAGTTATTTTTTGTTATACAAGTGTAATACACCGTTGGAAAACTTGAGTCTTTTATATTAATATTATTTAAACAAAATTTAAATTTGTAAAGTACCAAAAATGGAGTGATTTGTTTTCAAAACGGTAAAATAATTTAAATTTTTAAAATAACGGGATACTAAAAGTCGGCTATCAATACCAAAAAATATAATTACTTAAACTTTTTTAATTTTTTAAGTTTTTTTAATTCTTAATGCATACAGAAAAAAATAAATCAAAATTTTATAAGGAGAAACACCAAAGTTATAAATTTTCAAAAAATTCTTTAAAATCAAGTAAAAATAAAAAAATGTTATTTTTAAAATTTGAGATAAAATTCAAGTAAAATTAAATGTTATAGAACGACCCATTGCAATAACAAATCCGTTTACAAAACCAAAATCAGTAAAATACACCTCAAGTTATGATTTTTTGAAGATGATCTTTTTAATGAATCCTGCATATTGTTCATATAGTAAAAAATTTGGCTTTTTTAACTTTATTAAATTAATGTGCACATTTTTTGCCAACTCCTACAGAATGGTCAGCTCCTGTTCTAGAGCAGTCTTGAACAATCAAAGTACTAAATGTCCGCTTGAAAAGTATTTTTCAGCTGCTGCCGCAGGAACAAATTGTTCATGGCAAATTAGAGGAAATAATTGGATGCTCAGGTGGCTTTTTACTCGGAAAAGGGTAGAGGTGCTGAACTGAACAGGATTGCCTCCTAATTTCTTCCCGACATTGAGGACTAATTGACCGAGTGAGAGAAAAGGAGAAAAAGTGAACGACAAAACGACTCTTCGATTCAGTACTAAACTTGGCTAAACTTCGGATTAAAAAACAAAAAAAAACATTTTATTTCTATTAGATTCAAAATTAGATACAAAATTCAACAAATGCTTCACTTGAAAGTTTGCACCTTGAAAGACTTTAAAAGATCTTTTTTGCTTGCTNACAAAATTCACCAAACGCTTTACTCGCATATTTTTGCACCTTGAAGGACTTCATCTTTTTTGCTTGCTGAAAAAACTGGTTTGAGGAGATTAAAAACTGAAGATGTGCTCTGGGGGTGGCCCAGACGAGAGTGACGAAAACGGTGACAATGGACACGCTTCACCAGATTTTCACTTTCTAAATCATCATCAAAAAATGCTAATGTTCACTTTTTTCTGAAGCACTTAAAAGACCTCTTCTTCACCTACCTTCCACCACCACCACCACCACCTGCTAATTACCTTTTAATTGTCATTTTTCCCT